TCTAAAACCATCTCTATCTATTGGACCGGACGGAATATGTGCCTACTTCTTAAAAAAGCTATCTATTGCCATAGCCGAACCTCTAAGCATAATCTTTGAAAAATCTTTCAGGACCAGCTCCTTGCCTAACCTATGGTCATAAGCCATGGTCATCCCCATCTTCAAAAAGGGAGACCCCAGCCTAGTTGAAAATTACAGACCAATCTCTTTATGCTGCGTCACCTGGAATCAATTATTAACCAATCCATTATCCCACACTTAGAGACAAACAACTCTCTAATAAACAATTTGGTTTCAGGAAAAAACTATCCTGTAATCTGCAACTCTTACACTGCAAAAACATATGGACTTACACAACTCGATCAGGGCAAAGCAATAGATGCAATCTACATAGACTTCTGTAAAGCCTTTGATTCAGTGGTACACAACAAACTACTACTAAAAACTAAAATATGGTATCTCTTGACACCTGCATAACTGGATAGAAACATTCCTGTCAAACAGACAACAAATGTTCAAAATTGGGAGCGTCCTATCAAATTCTGTACCTGTCAACAGTGGTGTCCCCCAAGGCAGTGTTCTAGGACCAACTCTCTTCATACTCTACATAAATGACCTCTGTGATCATATTAAGAGCAACTGCATTCTCTTCGCTGACGATGTAAAGCTATTCAACACCACTGACAATACTGCTACCCTTCAAAAAGACCTTGACTATGTATCAGAATGGTCAATCAAATGGCAACTTCAAATCTCAACAAATAAATGCTCTGTCTTACATACTGGCAAAAAAATTAGAAAATAAAATACAAGCTGAATAGTCAAGCCCTTGTTGATGATCCAAACTCTGTCAAGGATCTTGGAGTACTCATCTCTAATGACCTAAGTGCTAGAGCCCACTGTAACTACATAGCCAAAAAGGCTTTAAGAGTTGTTAACCTAATCTTACATAGCTTTTTCTCTGGTAATATTACACTAATAACTAGAGCATACAAAACATTTGCTAGACCAATACTCGAATACAGCTCATCAGTCTGGAACCCACATTACATATCTCATATTAGCACAGTTGAGAAAGTCCAGAAATATTTCACAAGAAGAGTTGTCCACTCCTCTACTCGTTGCAGAATACCTTATGCCACCAGACTTGAAATTCTAGACCTAGAAAACTTTGAATTACACCGTCTTCGGTTTGATCTAAGTATGGTATATAAAATCATACATTGCAATGTCCTACCTGTCAATGAATACTTCAGCTTCAACCATAACAACACAAGAGCACACAACAGATACAAACTCAAGGTTAATCGCACCAAACTTGATTGCAGAAAATACGACTTCAGCAACAGAGTGGTCAATGTCTGGAATACTCTACCTGACTCTGTGGTTTCCTCCCCAAACCCCAAAAACTTTAATCTTAGACTGTCTACTATTGACCTCACCCCTTTCCTAAAAGGTCTGTAGGGTTATTCATAACTATGTATATACTTACACCTATTATCTTGTAAGCGATTGACAAATCAAAATAAATAAATAAATCTCCTCCCCCAGGTCTATAAGGCGCCTTGGAAGAAGAGCTGGGGCTTTGTCTCTGGGGGTTTCCTGTTTGAAATCCCCCCCCAGTTTCTTTCCAAGGGAGCCTATCTGGACTTTGTAGAAGGGGTGGGGGCAAGGCTGCTTGGAGCCTCACCGGGAGAGGAAGAGGCTTGTAAACCTGCTCTGTTCAACCTTGGCCACTTTTAAGACCTGTGGACTTCAACTTCCAGAATTCCATGCTGGCAGGGGAATTCTGGGAGTTGAAGTCCACGGGGCTTAAATGCTGCCAAGGTTGGGCAGACCTGCCCTAAATAAAAAGTTCAGCACGTTTTGCCAAGCGCTGGGCAAACTGTGGGGCAGGAAGCGTGATTGTTTTACATCATTAAATAATAAATGCAGAAAACAATACAAATTTACATATATACATAAGCTTTAGTCATCTTTGATATTCTTGTTCCTTCCTTTTTTCAACCCGTGGTAAAACTTCTCCCAAATTTTATAATAATCAGATTCGGTCTTATTTTTTTAATTCTTGAGTTAATTTATCCATTTCTGCGCACATCCAAATTTTCCTAATTCTTTCCATCTCGTCTGGCATTTCATTACCTTTCCATCTTTGGGCATTAGCTAACCTTGCAGCTGTGGTGATATGGATTATTAAGTATATTACATCTTTATATTTAATCTTCCCACATTAATTCCCAATAGGAAAATTTCGGGTCTGAATTCTACTTTAATTTTGCACATCTCTTCTATCCATTTCTGAATTTTCTGCCAATATGTTTGGGCTTTCTTACAATTCCACCATAAGTGGTAATATGTTCCAATTTCTTTATTGCACTTCCAACATTTGGGGGAATCAAGTCCTTTGTCTAGAGATTTGCACCTGCTGCCTAAAATAATGAAATAATGGTAACTGCTGCCTAAAAAATTAATATGATTATTATTAATAATAATGATTACATATAAGGATAATATAGGCAGTCCTTGACTTGTGATAAGTGAGCCCAACATTTCTGTTGCTAAGTGAGTTTTCCTGTTTTACAACCTTTCTTGCCACCGTCAAGAAAGTGAATCACGGCAATTGTTCAACTAGTAACACGGTTGTTAAGTGAATCCGGCTGCCACCTGGACTTCGCCTGTCAGTCGCAAAGGGAATCACGTGACCCCTGGGATTCTGCAGCCATCATAAAGGTGAACCGGTTGCTCAGCATTCCAAATTTCGATCCTGTGCAATTGACAGACTGGATGCCAAAAGTTGTGAATGCTCCAACACTGGAAGTTTTTTAAAAAGACTGTTGGATAACCATTTGTCTGAAGTGGTGTAGGGTTTCCTGCCTAGGCTGGGGGTTGGACTAGAAGACCTCCGGGGTCCCTTCCAACTCTTGTTCTCCTAAGTTTATAATTCAAAGTGTGATGTTCACATAGATCCCATTTGTTGCTTCTTATTTTATTCTAGAATGTTCAACTGGATATTCCCGGAATGTTTTTTAACTTGCTCTTTGTAAATAAACATGGATTGGACTTGAAACCGTGGGGATTGCTGGCACAGGCGTTAAATGTTGAGGGGGGGGCTCACTTTTTTTCAGCTGCGTTGTAACTTTGAATAGTCAACTAAAGGAATATAAGTGGAGGACTACCTGTAATGATGGATAATTATTATTAGCCGGTCTGGGATAGCAGGAAAGGGACCTGCTGTCCTGGGAAGAGCAGCTTCAAATCTACCTTAATATATATTTTACACACACACACACACACACACACACACACACATATCCCTACCTTGCAGGGCTGTTGTTGTGGCCAGACCTCAGGGCTGCCCAAGAGACTTGCTAGCACAGGGGTCTCCAATCTTGGCCACTTTAAGACGTGTGGACTTCAACTCCCAGAATTCCCCAGCCAGCAAAGCTCAATACAAAGCTGGCTAAGGAACTCTGGGCAAAGCTGGCTGGGGAATTCTGGGAGTTCAAGTCCACAACTCTTAAAGTGGCCAAGGTTGGAGACCCCTGTGCTAGACATCTGCAAAGGAATAAACCTTGGAGCACACACACACACACAGCACCCCCTTATGGTGCTCTCTCTTGCAAAGCATCTGGGTGGGGGCCCCAAGGCCAGGGACCCCTGAGAGAGCCAGCTGGGGTCTCCACCTCAAGACTGCCCCCCAACCCACCTTTTCCCCTCTCCTCCTGGAGGGGCGGCGGAGAGGAAGCCTGGCTAGCCAGGTCCCATCCCCCAAAAAGAGAACTTGGGTGGTGGGGGACAAAACCAGTGGGCGTACGGAGCCCCTCCTTGCCAAGGCCCGGGGGGGCCTCCCAAAAGCCCCCCGAGAAATTTCCTTCCTTCCTTCCTTCCTTCCTTCTTTCCTTCCTTCCTTCCTTCCCTCCTTCCCTCCCCCCCTCTCTCTCCCCCCCCCCCCCCCTCTCTCTATCTATCTATCGTACATTTTCCTTTATTATACATCACATTTCCAATTTTGCAAGGTCAGTACACTGGCTCTATCGAGTCTTTTTAAAATATACATCGTATTATGCACCCTGGTTATAACCATTTTTCTCATAGTCATACAGTATAGTCTCTTTTAAATACATAGTATTGTACATCATAATTGTAACTATTGTTTTCATATTTCGTATCACAATTATAACTCTTGTTTTTTTCACACTCGTTACAACTTATCACTCTAGTCGTTTTACTCTATATTCACCTACAGTCCGATAGCGAAACTGCTTACAGTATATATATTCTTCCGTATATCTATATACCTGTATTTACTTCTATTTTG